GATCCTGTTCAATACATAAATGTACCAGCGCAACTAATCGGTCAAGACAAACCGTATGGTTGACACTACAACCGTTCCGGTGGGTTGTTCAATTCCATCTAGGTTGTGAACCAACGATTCTTGTTTCGCAAGTAACTGATATAGTGATCTTCGGTACGCCCGATGACGACCCACTTATCTACATGCAAAACAACAGAACGTGGAACTTATTTAACCAAACATAATTCTCATTCATCAAGGAATAACAAGTGTAATATCCACTAAAGCAAAGCTTAAGTATATAACACCAACACTTCCATGATCACTTTGAATACTTATTATGGGAAAACCTTTCTCAGTTTGAACCTTCAAACAAAGTAACTTAAAGGCAGAGAATGTGTCAGACTTCTCACGTAAAAAACCAACCCAAGTATATCGAGAGAAATCATCAACGCACAAAAAAATATTCTTTTTACCTTGAAAGCTTTCTACATGAATGGGACCCATGAGATCCATGTGAAGAAGCTCTAGGATCTGTTTAGAAGCAATATGGTTCAGTGACTTGTATGATGTCCTCGTTTGCTTACCTAGTTGACAAGGTTCGCAAATTGGCTGGTCCTTCACAGCAATCTTTGGAACACCCCTGACTACACCTGCATTGGCCAATTTGACAAGGTGAGAGTATCCAATATGCCCTAAGCATTGATGCCATATCTCAGGTTCGCTCACATTTGAGAGAAGACATTTTTCATTAAAATCAACAAGATAACAGTTATCCTTTGAACGAGAACCTGTAAGTACACAAGAACCTTCACTGTCTTTCACATAACACTTATCACATGAGAAACTGACACTAAGGCCTTGATCACAGAGTTGACTCACACTCAAAAGATTTGTCTTTACTTCATCAACAAGTAACACATCAGTTAGTTTAGGTATTCCACCCAAATTTAAACAGCCAGCTCCAATAACCTTATTGCTCACTCCGTCACCGAACATGACTTCCCCATTTGAACTGGGCTGAATGTTCATCAAGTAAGAAGGTTCACCAGTCATGTGTCTAGAGCAGGCGCTGCCTAGATACCATTTACCTTTCAAGGAAGTCCTGAGAGACAGAACAAAAGGCAAAACAGTTGAAGGATTTTTAGCAACCCACACTTGATGAGTTTTGGTACGGTTATTTGGGAGGGTTCTGGCATGAACCTTCACTGGAATGCCAGACTGATTCCAACCCCTAACATTACCTGTACAAAGATCATGCTGCATTTATAGCATTTGGGTCTTATGTGACCAGTTACACCACAGTAATGACAGATAGGAACAAAGTTATGGTGAGTTTTATTAACAGATTTCTGCATAGGAGAATGAACCTTCAAGGGAGATTTTGGAGATAGAGGTTTACTTACAGTGCTTTTTACAAACCTGTTAAACATGTTTCTGGAAGGTCTCCCATGCAGGTTCACACCTCCAACTCCAAGTTTGTCCCCAAATCCAAGACCGATATGTTTTGTATTTTAAGTTTTAATTGAGGACTCAGGAATGTCTTCCCTACCAGTGTATCCTATTCCAGTAAGATCACAATGTCATTTTCCCAAAGAAAAAAGTTCATTCAGATCTGCTTTTCCCTTGTTCAGTTTTCGAACGACTTCTGCAGTTCGGTTCAACTCAGCAGAATTTGCCTTCAGTTTGCTTTCTATGCTAGCATGTTCGTTCATCAGCCAATCAACTTCATTTTTCAGTAGCACGATTTCCTGGTTCCGCTCGGCAAGAAGTTTCTGAGTAGAGAATAATTCGGTCCTCAAGCATTCAATGGTCTGAGCCTTCTCCAGTCCGTCTTGTTTAGCAAGTTTGACACTGCTCTCAAGGATGCAGGTTCGTGCCTTTGCAGTATCCAATTCACACTCTTTAGTAGCAGTGGAGGTGGATGCTTGATCGTTCAGCACCCTGTTTGCTCTTGAAAGTCTAAACACTTCATTTTGAAGCTTCTGTAGAGCTTCAGATGCTTGAGCACACTTTTCCATAGCAAGTAAGTGTACTGGATCTACACATACATTTTGATCTGCTTCATCCTCAGATGCTTCAGTTTCTTTCAAACTTTCTTCAAACTTGGTCGGAGCATGAGAAGTGTTGAGACACATGAACTTCTTGACTGAGGTATGGACTGCCAAGTTGCTTGTGTGCAAAGAAGGTTCATCTGTGCCTTCTTCATCTGAATCTTTCTAGGTTGCCTTCAGTGACTTATTCTTCTTCTTAAGATTAGCACACTCATACTGGAAGTGTCCAAAGCCTCTACACTCCCTGCATTGATCCTTCTCAACTCGTTGTGAATCGGATTTTGAGAGTGGCATACTACTTTTCTTGTCCTGCACCACATTCTTGCTGAAGTTGTTCCCTTTTTTTTCAGCAAATTTGTTCTTGTACAACCTTTGACTCATCTTCCCATAGTTTCGCGCGATTAGAGCAAGTGCTTCTTTCAGCTCACTATCATCTGCCAACGGACCTTCATCGTCATCGCTTTCTTCTCTTTCCTCGACTACAGAAGCTTTGAGAGCTAAGCCCTTACTTTTGACTTTGTCATAATTGTTGTTGATTTCAAACGTTCTGAGCTCTCCAAGAAGTTCATCAACATCCAACGACGCCACCCTTTGGAAACTTTCAAGAGCTGTGATTTTCTCTCTAAACCTAGGAACGACGGTTCTCATAATCTTTTGTACTTGACGTTTCTAAGAGATTTCTTCTCCAAGCATCATACTTTGATTTACCATATCACAGAATCTGGCATAGTATACGTCAATTGTCTCTTCATCCTTCATTTTGATCTCATCAAATTCAAGAGTTACCCGTTGAAGTCTGGACGCTTTGACAGCCGTTGAACCTTCAAATTGACGCTGTAAGACCCTCCAAGTATCTTTTGTAGTTTTGCAATGAACTATCATCTTGTGTCTTGTCTGATCAACTGCCATCATAATCGCATACAAGGCTCGATAGTTGGCTTCTTCTTGAAGCTTCTCAGCATCAGTCCAGTTGTCCTTAGGTTTAGAAACTGTGACTTCGTTGTTTATTTACCTTGATCAGGTGCTTGTTGCATGACTGGATGCTCCCAGCCGTTTTCAACACTTTCCCACACGCCTTTTCCAAGCGATCTCAGAAAGATTGTCATCATAGACTTCTAATATGAGTAGTTCAAACCGTCCAATTGCGGGGGCCTGAACATCGATCCACTTTCTTGATTCATGATTTGAGGGTAACACACGTCCTAGGATCTTTCGTAATGTAGACGAAAACCCGCTCTAGTGCCAATTGAAATTTGATACTTGAACACCAAGTATCCAGAGTTGCACGTAAGTTAAATGGACAGACAGTAATGAAGATTCAAACAATTGCGGAAGCAGTTTTTCACTAAAATTGAACCTTCAGGAGAGCGTCCCACTCTCCCTTCAGATCTCTTTCATTAATGTGAACAAGTCATACATCATCTAAGGGTTTACAGTATAGACTCCCTCTACACTCTACTTGAATAATGATTCACACAACTACTTATCCGACCACAACTCCCTTGTGGATTTTCTAGTTCGAATCCTTCAAACTATAAGAACGAACCACCGAACGTTCTTTTTCAAAATATTCTGAATATCACTCTTTTTCACTCAAGGAAAGAAAAAATATCTAACTCAAAAATTCAGAAAAAGTCATCCTCAACTCTGGTCTCGTCCTCCTTTTATCTTCAACACCCTTTGGAAAGTCTTTTCACCCAAGACAAATGCGGATAAGGAATGTAAATCTCTCGAACTTCTTCATCTTCGATTATGAAAGGTGAATCTCGCGATCCTCCTTCTCTTTAGATTATGGAAAGTGTATCTCCCCCTCAATCCCAAAGTCCTGCCAAAATAATAACATAAAATAATCAGTCCCTTGGACTTAATTAAAATTAAGACTTATTCATACCAAAAAATAAACTTCCCTTAAATTCTTCCATAAATTTCTAGACTCTGTGATCATCAGAAGGTTCATCGATTTACTGCTAATCTTTAGCACTTACAGGTTGTATCCAAACAATAACAGAAATACTATTTACACGTGCAACCATGGAGTGACACTTTTGATGCATCGTGTAATCAAATTACTTCGCTGGTGACTTGGATTCAGTTGCCGGGGATGCCGGTCCACTTGTACCATAAGAAAGTATTTTATACGATTGGAGATATAGTTGGAAAGGTGGTGAAGGTTGATCATCAAACGGCGGCCTAAACAAGGGGCAAATATGCTCGCCTAATGGTGGTGTTGGATATACGTAAGCCTTTATGCGCCAGTATTTCTATTCGAGGGAAAGTCCTGCGAGTGGAGTATGAGTTTCTCCCAAATATCTATTTTCATTGTGGGATTTATGGCCATGCCGTGGCGCTCTGCCCGGACTGTTTGTTTGCAGTTTTTTTTTTTTGGGCATGTGGTAACCGAGGTACCCGACTCGGTTCGTTCTCAAAGGAAGGCTCTTCGGAGCTTCGTTCACTACCTAGTCGTCAAAGTCACACGACCAAAAAGATCCTAAACATTCTACTCATATGGTTGGATTGTTGACTAACACTAAACGAGCACTAGAAAACGAGCAATTAACTAAAGCAAGATCAAGTCACGGGCAAGTAGCAAACTAAACCGTCGAAGTCCCATGCCATAACCATACGGGATGATAATCAATCGACATACGGAATAAACGAGCAATGAGCATTAGATCGCTAATCCTAGTCGTCTAACCAAGATCAACAAGCAGTTAACTTCTCTATCTACTCAGGCAAGCAATCAATCAAGTCCAACTTTTCCTCCATCATCAATCAAACTCAAATTTACCCTAATGAACATTATAAGTAAATACGAGGCAAAAATCGAAGTAAAGAACTTTATAACTAAATACCCTTCCTTCTATTGCATAGACGATGAAGAACGGAGTCAAAAGCTCTAAACTTGAAAGAAACCGAAGTCGCCGAAAAACCTCCCGGAAAATGACATAAGCTTCTAGTCTAGAGAGCAAAATAAAAAAAAAAGAAAAAGAAAGTGGAGAGGATTTTCCCAACTTAAAAGTTGGGAAATGATGGTTGTTCCCAAAATACAAAGCAAGATGTCTTAATATAGCTACATCACAAAACACACACTAAAACACGCACATTAAAAACAGCACTCCCGACAACGCCAAGAAATCCGCGAGCACGCGAGTGATGCTTACATGGGCGCACAGGCACACGGGACTCTCGACGGCGCGGGGATCTCCGCGAGCGCGCGGGTCGTGTTGGGCATCAGCAGTGTAGCGCTCTCGATGTCGCGGCTGTGTCCGCGAGCGCGCGAGTCAGTGCGGCTGGAAGGCGTGGGCAGCAGGCAGGCGCTCTGGACCGCGCGAAAGGTTCCGCGAGCGCGCGAGTCACGCGCTGGCCACTCTCGACCTCGTGGACCTGGGAGGCTGGGACCAATATATATATTCACGCAATCACACAGCCGCGAGAGAAGACGCAGTAGGCATACGCGGACAGAGAGCAGACAGACGAGGAAGCAGACAATAGCGGAGGGAGGCCGCACCCGCACACGAAAGGGGATAATTCTATTCTCTTTCTTTTATTTTTATTTGTTATGTTAGAGTAGATTTTATTTCTAGTTCCGGGGATGTCGAACCCTACGACTTGACGATGTTTGATTGATTTATGTGGTTGATTATTGAGTTGTCTTTTTTGGAATTGCTTGTGTTATTTTGAATAATTAACCATGATGTGTTGAGACTTATTTAGATTGATCACCTAGATTAGGCTTTACATATCTACACCTGAATTAGGCCTTCAATCAGTAATTGTTGATGTGTTTAATTCGCAAGTGGTATCCGGAAGATGGTAACTACCGGGGATAACACAGCCTATTTAAGTGAACGAACGCGGTTGAGTTCACTACTTAGTCTAGCCTATTTTTCTAATTTGTAAAGCGACTGATTGTATTAAATCTAAGAAGCGTTTTCTAGACTGTACAAGAGGTCAGGTCTAATCGTAGAGCGTCTCGCGGTTAGATTAAAAATAAGAAAAAATTCAGGTAACAGACCGTGTCGTTGCCTAGGGCTAGTAATTTCATAAGATAACGAGATTTGATACCAAAGTTGATTAGACGAGTCAGTCGAGGGTGTAGACAGAACCGTGAACTAGAAATTTCCCTTATTTATTTTATTTTTATTTTTATTTCGTTTGTTTAGGTTTTATTTATTTCATTAGAATTTTAATTAGTTTAGTTATTAAATCCAATTCCCCCCTTTATCGGTTTTATAATTCAATTAATATAAAAAAATTCACAATTTGATACACACTTCTCGTGGGATCGACCCTTACTCGCCACTACTACTAGTTAGTAGAGGTTGGTTAAGGAAAATATAAATTATAATTTTACCACGTTGCGACGTGCGGTAAAGGATCAATCTCTCACTTTTTACTTTTCCCACTTTGGGAAATTAACTTATGCTTTATTTTTGCTCTCTAGATTAGGAGTTTATGCTATTTTCTGGGAGATTTTCCGGCGACTTCGGTTTCTTTCAAGTTTCGAGCTTTTGACTCCATTTTTCATCGTCTATGCAATGGAAGAATGAGTATTTAGTTTTAAAGCTCTTTACTTCGATTTTTGCTCCGTTTTTACTTATAATGTTCATTAGGGTAAATTTGGATTTGATTGATGATGGTGGAAATGCTTGTACTTGATTACTTGCTTGAGTAGATAGAGTCGTTAATTGCTCGTTGATCTCGGTTAGACGACTAGGGTTAGCAATCTAATACTCATAGCTCGTTTATTTCGTATGTTGATTGATTATCATCCCGATATGGTTATGGCATGAGACTCCGGTGATCTAGTTTGCTAATTACTCGTGATTTGACCTTGCCTTTAGTTAAATTGCTCGTTTTTAAGTGCTCGATTAGTTTTAATCAACCCATCCAATCAATTGCTTAGAATGTTTAGGACTTTATTTTCCCTTTTTGCGATTTGGACAATCATTTAGTAGACAAAGCTCCTAATAGCCTTCCCTCGAGATCGACCCGAGTCGGGTAACTCGGTTATCCTTTGCCCACCAAATCCTTACTAAACAAATGGCGCCGTTGCCGGGGAAGGCAAGTAGAATGCCTAATTTGCTATTTGATTGTTCCTTTTATCGTGTTTCTCTTGTTTCATGTGATTTTTGCTTAATTTCCATATTTCTCTTTATTTCTCTCGATTTTCTAGGTAATTGCTGTTTTAGCTTGTGTTTTCAATTTTGATTTTTCCTTTGCTTTCCATTGGTGCGTTAACGGGTATAGTTTGTGGTTTTGTTTATGCGAGGTAAACGAGGGCATAAACCCCAAGAGGAGCCACCGCCATTCGACCTTTTCGTTGAGCTTTACATCGAGGAACCACAACCGGAACCCGAAACCGAATCGATGGCGGGACAAGGAGAGCAATTGCCACCACCACCTCCCCCGAACATGAGATATTTTGCACGGCCTATCAGGGGAGACAACACTTCATGTCTCGTGCTCGGGGAGGCGGCCCGAAACTATGATCTCAATACCATCTACCTTAACCAACTCCCATCATTCTATGGCCTCGCTCAAGAATATGCCCTCAACTTTATTCGAGACTTCTATGCAACCGTCAACACATTCCCACCCCAAGGCCTTACCGAGAACCAACTCCGCATAAGATGCTTTCCTTACACCTTGAAAGACCGCACCAAGACTTGGTCCATGACATTGATTCCGAGCTTGCTCAACACGTGGGAAGCCGTATACGAGAAGTTCATGAGCAAGTACTACTCTCATCAAAAGACCACCGACCTCTGGACTCAAATGGCTAGCTTTAGCCAAAATATCGGGCTTGGGAGAGATTCAAGGCTATCAACTCCAATGCCCACATCACCACTTTTGCCTCGGTGTGCTCAATCAATTCTTCTAGGATGGTCTCCACCAAACCCTTCAATATATGGTCGATCATGCGGCCGGTGGAGACATAGGGAGCCACACGGAGGAGAAAATCTATAATCTCTATGAAATGTTGAGTGAGAACTCCCAACGGAAGAGCGTTCATAAGAGGGCCCCCGTGAATGAGGCTACACCATCAAACGGGTCCTCGAACAATGCCGTTCTCGCCAATCTTGCCTCGTTAGAAGAAGAACTCAAGCAACTTCGGTTAAGGGATGAAAAATCGACCCAAGTTGTGATGGCCGAGGTATGCGGGTGTTGTGGAGAGGCCGGCCATGGAGGCCACGAGTGCCCGAATTATATGGTGCCGGCCTACGACATCAATGCTATCCAAGGGTACGCCCCCCGGGTTCAAAATGATCTGTACTCGAACACCTACAATCCCGGGTGGCGAAACCACCCTAACTTTTCATGGAGGGACCAGAAAGCAACCTACCCACCCCAATCGGCACCACAACAAGCCTATTCCCAACCTCAACAATATGCTCAACCGAATAGTCGACCACTGTTCCAACCAAGGCCCGAATTCCAAGGCTATCAACCAAGGCCCGAGTTTCAAGGATATCCACAAGGGCGTGGAAGCTTCATCCCAAGACAACCTTTGCCACCTCCACTGGAGCCCGAGATAAATGCTAATGGAGAATCCTGGGAGACCCGGATCGAAATCCTAGAGAAGTGTCTTCAATCGTTGGCCTCTACCATCTCTACGTTGCACGACACCGTCAAATGAGTGCCTTCGATTCATGCCTCTCTCAAATGCCTCGAGACTCAAATGGGGCAACTCGGGAGTTCCATAGGGGAAATCCAAAGGAGCAAAATGAAAGACAAGCTCCCGAGCCAACCCGAGCACTTGAATGCCATCACGGTTTTGAGGAACGGTAAGAAGGTTGATAATCGAGTTGGGATGCCCGAGGAAAATGAAGTTGTTGACGTTGTTGTTGATGAGGATGATGATGAACCGGGCGAGAAGGTTGAGGTTTCGAAAGGGAAGGCCATTGTTGGTGAGGGACTTGAGAAGGGGAGTTCAAAGAAGGAAGCCCGTGAGGCATTGCACAAAGCGGATGCACCCTACCGACCACCGGTTCCCTTCCCGAGCCGATTGCAAGATACAAAGAAAGAGCATCAATTCAAAGATCTTTTCGACATGCTCTCGAAGGTGAATGTGAACCTCCCACTTCTAGATGTTATCAAAAACGTGCCAGCATATGTTCAATTTTTCATGGATCTAGCTTCGAAAAAGAGGAGGTTTGTGGATAATGAGAAGGTAATGATTTTTGAGGTAGCCTCGACTACCATACCTCGAAAAGAATGTGACCGGGGAGCCTTTGTCATGAAGATCACGTTCAGGAATGGAAAAGCTACAACCGGGATGCTCGACTTGGGAGCCGGTATAAACCTCATGTAGTACTCTATTTACAAGCAATTGGGGTTGCAAGGGCTTAAACCGACTCGAATGAGCCTCCAATTGGCGGATCGTACTTTACGGGAGCCAAAGGGAATAATTGTAGATGTGTTGGTCAAGGTTGGTTCGATTGTCGTGCCGGTGGACTTCGTTGTCCTTGATGTTGGAGATGTCCTGAATACCAGGAAGAAGCATACCGTCTTGCTTGGGCGACCTTTCATGGCGACCACTAACACCATTATTGACGTCAAGGAGGGGCGAGTCACTCTTTCAGCTCATGGAGAAATGGCTACTTTCACGATGAACAATGTACGGGAAGCTCCGCCCAAAGTTGGCCAATGCTCATTTATGGAGGACATCGACAATGAGGTACACTCCAATCTTTGTTCTAAAATTTCTAATTATAATTGTGTCGAGAATTAAATGAAGGAAATGAAGTCGGGGATGGATGAGAAAGTTGGAGTTGGTGTGAAAGTTGAGAAGTTGAAAATTGATGTTGAGAATGGTGATGGTGTGAAATCGAGCAAGAATGAGGTGAAAAAGAAGCATAATAATGGAGAGGGAAAACCAGGAGGTAGCCCACTGAGTTCGAAAGATGAGGCGAGTACCGGGGTTTGGAAGTTTATGAAAAAAGGGATAAAATTCGAGAGAAGGATGATTGGAAGAAGAAGTCCCCGGTGTCTCGGAAGAGTAGGTGGGCACATGTGTTTGGTGACGAGCTCGAGAATGAAAGTGGAGGAGCTCGTTGAGCCATGCCCGGTTGATCGGTGAAATGATGGGAAAGTCGAGCTCACGACTATAAACCGAGCGCTTCGTGGGAGGCAACCCACGTTTTTCTTTTCATTTTTTCTCTTCTTTTCCTTAAAAAAAATAAATAAAATCGAGAGGTCGTGGCGACCTGCTCGGCAATCCCGACTTGTTAGAGCCGAGCCAAAAAAAATGAAAAATGAGCAAAAACGAGTTTTATTTGTGTCGAGAGTTAAACCGAGCATTTGGAGCGAAAATCGGCAAAATACGGCTAAGTATGGAGCAGCTACCTTGCCCGGAACTCGCGCGCTCGCGGCCAGCACTCGCGCGCACGCCACCAAATCCACGCGATTGAGGCACACCATGCCCCCAGCTTCAGCACGACCACTCCCGCGCGGCGGAAATCCCAGCGCACTCACGGGCGCCACTTGCGACCTTGCGCAGCAGTCCGCGCGCTCGCAGCGCCCCGAGACCCCAGCACTTCAGCCTAGCACCTTCCACGCGGCGTACAGTGTAGCATGCACGTAGAGCAAACTCGCGCACAGACGGACGTTTCCGCGAGCCCGCCACGCCACCCACGCCCCCAACTTCAGCACAGACACCTCCGCCATGCGGAAATCCACGCGAGCTCGCGAGTACCCGTCTGCCCAGCCCGCAACCGCACGACCCTGCCTATGCACAGCGCCCAGCCCACACCCTCAACAACCAGCCTGACCGCAGCCCTTACCTAGCCCGCAGCCCAGCCACCCAACACCGCCACCCGCCGCCGCCGGCCGCCACCTTTTCCGGCCAACTTTCTCCGATCGTGCCGAATTTTATATCAACGTGAAGCTCTCGTCGACGCCAACAACATATTCGAACCTCAAAGAAAAATTACGACGAGAAGACTTCCGATTTTCCAGCGAAAGCTCGTAGATCTACACATTTCTTCAACCTTCAAATCCAAATTGCCAGCGACTCACATAGACCCACCGAAATATGAAGGCACCCCCAGACTTGTCTCGTCAGACCGCACATTTTTCTGACCACTGTAGCTGAATCCGGCAAACTTTTCCAGTGAACTTTTCCGGCGACCACTTTTTCCAGCGAATGAGCACCCTCCGAGCTTCCGGTTAGTATTTTTAAGCTTTTCTTGTCATGTACCATCGATTCCTTTCGTTTGGTACCTTTTTCCGACGACCGGAACTCCAATTTTTCTATATTTCTCTATTTATGAACTCCAGCGACCGTTTTTCTCAAAATTTTCCAAGGTCCAACGTCTCGATTTTGCTTTGTATTTACGTGCTTTCATTATATTCGTTGTGCTTGGATTACTACTCTTGCCAGAGTAGTCGTATTGCGATATTTGGGTTAGACTTGTGCGTTTTAGGCACGTCTTGCCGGGCGTGCCACATGTTTGTATTTTTGCCGGGATTTCGAGTTTGTAGGTAAGCCGGTAATTGGTTATGCGTTGCATACAATGGAGTTCATTGTGTCAGCCCATGGTGACAATCGACGAAGACTTAGAGGCTGATTTTTGCACTTTCATGTGTACGTGTGTCTACGTTGAGTTTATGCATGCATGGTTACCATCTCTCCGAGACACACACACACATGGCCTTTCTCACTTCATGTGTTCATTGTTGTACCATTCGGATCGCTTTATTTCGAGCTCGATGGCTTTCGGTTGCTCTCCTCTATTTCCTCCGGACAACCATTATCGGAATATACGGTGGTGACGACCACCGTGTAGAGTACGCATTTTCTTTTCTTATTTTCTCTTTCTTTCTTTGCTTTTTGTGTGTCTTCATGTTATTTCTTCTTGTTTCTTTGATCTTTGTGTCTCGTTTTCGCTTTTATCGCATGAACTTACATGATTATGTGCTTTCTTCTATGCTTTTTGGTCAAACAATGAGGACATTGCTTTGTTTTAAGCGTGGGGGAGAGATTTTCGTGATTATGCATGTTCGGGTGATATTTGTTTCGTTTTTGGTGCTTTATTTTTGTTTTTGTCGTGTCTTGGACTGGTTTTGTTCGAGTTTATGTGTGTTTGTGTCATCTCTCCCGCATGAAACTTGATGTTTGTTCGAGAGTCAAGATAGCTAAGTGGTGAGTCGAGATTATTGATTGGTTTCCCTATTAGCATTCATGCTTGATGTACTTGATGAATTTGACGGTTTCTTTAATTGATTGATGATTCGTTGACATTGGAACCCGCATGTGGATTAACGGAATCCTTTTGTCCCTTGTTCGTTCTCGATTGATCGTCTTGAGGCATAATTTCTTTATGTTCGATGATTGTTGTAAACGTGTTATCTATACACTTGTGGTACGTTTCGATTGATGTGTAATGATTATGTTATTGTAATTGTGATGTATCCTCGTGTGCCTCTCCCTAAAAAAAAAAAGAGAATAAAAAGTGAGTTCGCGAGAAAGTACGGATTAGGCTCCTATTATTCCGAGCCATTCGTGGATTGGGATAATGAGCCTGGGAAACCGATCTAGGAAACTCGGGAAAACCCCTCGAGGTTAAACCTAGATCATCTCGTCCGGAAACCTCGTTTGGAAAGAAAAGCTCACGAAATGAGTTCGTGAGAGTCGAAAAAATTAGGCTCCTCTTGGCTCGGTTAATCTTCTAGATAGATCGGGTCAATGAGCACGAGAAACCGGTCTAGGTGACTCGGAAATAACCCCGAGTTTAAACCTAGGTAATAATCGTCCTAACGACTCTCATTTGGAAAAAGTGGCTCATTTATAAATAAAAAAAAAGAAAAAAAAAAGAAAAAAAGAGAAAAGAAAAAAAAAGAAAATTGGGGAGTTGGCTAATTGATCTCGTGCTTATTATTTCATGTTTTGTAGATCGTTTATGGTTTGTGCACGTATATGTGAATGAGGGGGTTTGACCCGAGTGATCACTCGTGGAATGACTTGGGACGAGTTTTTGTTTAGTTTGACTCATATTGTGGGGACCGTGTCTCGGATTGGAATTTGATTTTAGGATAACCGAGTGATAATGAGAGTTCCATTTTGCATGTTCGTTCATCTTGGACCGTTCGATTTATCTCTTCGAGCTATTTGTTATTTTGTTTGCTTGAGGACAAGCAAAAAGCTAAGTGTGGGGGAGTTGTTTGTTATGTTTTTGTGCTTATTTTTATGTGTTTATTTGTGATAGTGAGTCGGTTTTAGGTTCATTTTAGTGTCGACCGGTCCATTTTATTGTTTTCCGTGTGTTTTTGTGCATTTCGTTTTATTTTATATTTTGGCATACTTTTCTGTGTTTTGTGGTTAAATTTTAGGCTTATCCCGCGGGCGGAGAGACGAGTAAAACCAAATCGTGAGAGACGAGCTTTCCGAAGGATTTCGAGTCAATTCCGAGATGTGTCGAGCCATTTGCCTTAGTCGAAACTCACGGACGGGCCATTACCCGCAGCACGAATCGCGAGCTCGCGGAAGGCCTGGTGAGGTCGAGAGCACCCGCACACACATGCCACACTCACGCCCATCACCTGCATTCGCGAGCCGGCAGAAATGGCCACGACCTCGAGAGCATTCGCACGCGCACGCCCAACTCACGCTACACCTCGCACATGCCGCGCGACTCGCGCGCTCGCGGAAATAGCAGCGAGGTCGAGAGCTCTGCGATCCCCTACCCAACTCCCACACTCGCGAGCTCGTGGAAATGGCGGTGAAGTCGAGAGCTCCGCGCAATGCTGCCCAATCGCCCGCGCCTGCGGATCCATGCGCGACGTTGAGAGCATCGCACCCCAGTGCCCACGCCTATCCACTTCTTGCGTGCTCGCAAATTTTATGGCTAGGTCGAGAGTACCGTTTTAAATCTGCGTGTTTTGGTGTGTGTTTTGGCTAGACTATAAATATTTTTTAGCCTTTGCATATTGAGGATCCATCTCTCATTTTTTACTTTTCTCACTTTGGGAAATTAGCTTATGTTTTATTTTTTCTCTCTAGATTAGGAGTTTATGGTATTTTCCGGGAAATTTTCCGGCGACTTCGGTTTCTTTCAAGTTTCGAGTTTTTGACTCCGTTTTTCATCGTCTACGCAATGGAAGAATGAGTATTTGGTTTTAAAGCTCTTTACTTCGTGTTTTTTTATACGTTTCTACTTATAATGTTCATTAGGGTAAATTTGGATTCGATTGATGATGGTGGAAATGCTTGTACTTGATTGCTTGCTTGAGTAGATAGAGTCGTTAATTGCTCGTTGATCTCGGTTAGACGACTAGGGTTAGATATCTAATGCTCATAGCTCGTTTATTCCGTATGTCGATTGATTATCATCCCGATATGGTTATGGCATGAGACTCCGGTGATCTAGTTGGCTAATTGCTCGTGATCTGACCTTGCCTTCAGTTAAATTGCTCATTTTTAAGTGCTCGATTAGTGTTAATCAACTCATCCAATCAATTTCTTAGAATGTTTAGGACTTTATTGTCCCTTTTTGTGATTTGGACAATCATTTACTAGACAAAGCTCCGAATAGCCTTCCCTCGAGATCGACCCGAGTCGGGCAACTCGGTTATCCTTTTCCCACCAAATCTTTACTAAACAATACCCTTAAGCCGTAAAATAATAAACAGACGTATATACTCATTACTTGTTTATTTGATCCACCATGGGTGGTTCTTATTCTATTAGGATGGCGTATTCGGTATTTTGGTAAATGATTATGTTTATATGATGTGCTATTAAATTTATTTACGGTCACTATGTCCTGGTCCGCCTGGTTGATGACGCCCAAATGATCTAAGGAATGAATATTATGTTAAGCCCTACAGACATATTAAATTCCAACATAATGATTGAGGAACTGAGTGGTACTAATTTCAGATTCTTTGGGATAAAAAAAATTGTTTAATTTTATTGGTAGTAATTGAATTAATCAATGGACGTTATATTTTAAACATAGGAATGGTAAATCAATCAATTAAATTAATATAATCAATTAAGTAGGAATGGACCGCGGGCGCTGGTAGGCGGGCACGCAGGCGTTGGGATGTGCAGACGTCGGGCAGACACTGGGCGAGCACGGGTCTCCTCGGGCGCGCGGGGCATGGGGCGTGCTGGTGGGTGCACACGGAGCGTGCGTGGGTCTCACTGGGCAGCAAGCCTAGGGTCGCACGGGTCTGCGCAATCTTGGCCCATCGGGCACCAACCGAGGCAATCGGCCAGGAACTCTCTGGGGAATTTTCTGGCGAATTTCCCTGTGATTTTCCGGCAACTCGCTGAAACGAAAAGTCTTACAAATAAAAAAGTAAAAAAAGAAATAAAAAGCATAACACGCCAAAACAACACAAAAACACAAGTAACGAGCGAACACGACTAAATGGATTGGGAAAAAACTAAACTAAAATAGAACGAACACAAATAAAACATATAAAAACACACTAAATAACAACAAAAACATACAAAAACAGTTGTCAATTAAGTCACTAGATCAACATAAAAACATTCAAGTGAGAATGGCGCTCAGTGAATGAAATAAGAATAAATTATAGTCGTTAGATCTAATGGCTAATAAAAAAGTCAAAATTATACCTTAATTAAGGGAATTTGGACATTACACATCACCACCCACATCACCATGCATCATCACCCCCACATACACCACATATGCATACATACGCCACACACACACAACACATGCACATACATAACACACATATTATATCTACCGCACAAACAAGATACTCACAGACGCAAACACATAGTATTCACACACACACGCACGGCTAACACCACTTCCAACCACCGCCGACCTCATCGCCGGCCACCAGCCACCACAGTGCACGTTCGCTCTCCGATCACCGTAACCAACCACCGTCGTGGACGCAGACACATGTCTTCTCACTGGCAGCAATTGACACACACAGATACACACTTTTTTCGGTTGGCTGACACGCATACACACACACACATGATCGACATAGCGCAACCATTCTCGTCGATGACCTATCTAGCGCCATCACGAAAATTGTACCGTCGTTGACACCGGAGAATCCCTGCCACTGCCGGAGCCTCCCATTGTACCTTCTACACACATTCTCTGAGGTTGTCCACTATCGACGCTGTCATCCGCGCCGCTCCTTATACTCTATAACTCCGACTATCTCACCTCCGGCGGGTCTATCCATCTCCTCGTAGCAAGAAAATTCCACCCGAAATGCCGTCACGAGTTCTAATCTCTACGGTGGAGTCGGACGGTGGACGTT